CCCAGAGCTGGCCACCTCAGCACTGACCTCTGCCGCCCACCACACTGGAGGACCCAGTGCTCCCTGGAACAGTGACGTCACAGCCGTGGGTACCAAGCTTAGCTCTAGCTTCCCATTGTTCTGCACACAGAAGCCACAATGAGATGTGGTTTTTCCAAAAGCCAAAAATGTTACTGGCCCAGAGCTTGGATTGCTCTGCTCCCGGCCCTCCTGCTACACTAGACTGGGGCAGCTTGAGAGCAGCACAGATGTGCCTTCTGCATCCACCGTGGGGTGGCCAGCTCTGGGCACGTGGACAGGGCTCCCCGGTACAGGGCAGCTGGTCTCTGCCAGAGCGGGGGCCTCGTATCTCAGAGTCTCTCGGCAGGCCTTGGGTCTCTTCTCCATCCCCACATAACTGTGTCTCCCTTGCTGAGCTGCTGGGGCCAGGTCAGCAGGCGCCGGGGCTGTTTCGCTTGCCAGTATTTTCCCACTATCTCCTCGCACACGCTGGGTGCCCAATAAATAATTGTTGAATGAGCACTAATCACTCACTTGCGTAAAACTGCTTATTAAGTCCCTTCCGTGTGCCAGGCATCCTATGAAGTGTGGGGGTTACAAAAGAAAGGAAACAGATCTGGTCTCTGGCTGTGTGTAACTAAAAAAGATGTTTACACCAGACAGCACAACGTGATATAAATGGTAATAAAGGTGGAAGTAACACTGATCAGCACAAATCAACTGAACAAGTAAATTACTGTCAGATCTGCAGGTAATTGACTAATAAGTTCACTGCCGTTTCCAAAATAAGGCAAGCAGGAGGGACTGTGACAATAGCAGGAAAACGGAAACACAGAATTCAGAAAGAAGGAAACTCTGGATGCAAGTGCCCTCTTTCGTGGATGCGACACGTGAGGCTAAGCCAGAGTCACCGTGCAGACCGGCTGCACTTTGGCACTCAGAGCCATGGTGTGCTCTCCAACCTGTTACATCCATGTTAGCAGGGGCCCAGAGCAGCAGTTCTCTTGTGGAGAAAACAGAGGAGGCAAAAACCACACCCCCGCCCTGGGCCCCCCACAAGCAGGCACGGCTCTGCACCATGCTACCAGCGGGTCACGAGTCCTGCTTGGTCGGGGGACAAGGCCCGCACACTCTGCCCCCACCAACTCCACAGTGCGGCCCAGCAGTTGATCACACAGGTGTCACACTACGCTGCTGGCTCCCAGGTTGCCTCAAGAGTCCATTCCAGGGAGGGGACACATGAGGACAGCTAAGTGCTGGCCTGGGATCGCCCTGTGAGGTGCCGTGATTCTCAGGCGTGTGAACCTAAGTTTACCCTTCCAGGCTCTGTCAAAAGTATTGATGGACAGGTTGATTGAGCTTTTGACGGGGTCTTTTCACCAAGAGCATCATTTGAAAAATGGCAATGTCCAGGTAGGAATGTGTTCCATTAGTACCTTCCTGACCTAAGAAAACTAACACCAACTTGACGAGAATTTGAAAAATTTAATTTCTACTGCTACCCAGTCCCAGAGTCCTATCTGAGTGGGTGCTGATGGGTTTATGAGTGTCTCATCGAGTTTTAGTCAGTGTGAGAAATAGCACCCAAGATTAAGGGAAACCTGTAATAGGAACTAAAACCCAATTCTCCACCAGCTACAGTTGTGTGGCCTCCTGCTCTCAGGAAAGATGTATGTTAGCCTGTTAGGAGGAGAACCCTTCACTCCCTACCGCTGCCCTTCCTCTCCAAGTTCAAGTGTGCAGCGGAAAGGTGAGGGCTGCTGTCTGGAGCACCTCATGTTGCTGCTGTGGTCGGGGCCCCAGAGAGAGGTCTTGACCGCGGGCCCACCCGATGTGTGACAGACACCTTGCCGGCCATGGCCTGCCCAACAGCTACTGCGGGACACGGCGCCTGGCTGGTGGCCCAGGAAGGTCCATCTGCTGCGAACCGCCCCATACTGACAACCTCAGCACAGTGTGGCTCTGCCTCTTGCCTCAGGGCAGAGCAAGAGGAAGCCCCTGATCCTGGAAGACCCGACCCCCAGTGGGATGCATGTGTGAGTTATGAGCACCCAGCCTGCTCGTCCCCCTCCAGTTCCCTGCTCACCACGCAGCTTTCCAGGGCCACTTCTCATAGCAGGAGCATCACCTACCCTGTGGGCACAGAGCTCTGCCCTGAGGGACCACTCCCACAGCTGGGTCGTTTCTTGCCAACAACAGCAGTTCTTATGTGGACACATCCTCGTACCCCAGACATGGCGTCGCCCCTGGCCAAGCCCTCTCACTGTCCCCTCTTTATGCCGAGTGGCAGGCCCATCTTGCTGCCTGGTTTCCCAGAGACCCTTGAAACTTCCCCTCACAGTGGCCACAGAATCCTCCAAGGTCCACCGCCCTAGGAACAGCGCCAGCAGGAGCTGGGAGGGTCCCTCGCTGACCCTTCCTCAGACAGCTGCCCTGGAGATCTTGCTCTGCTGTACTTTCCTCTCAGGTCACCAGGGACCCCAGCAGGGTGAGAACCAGGCCTGGACTTCGCTGGTCCCCTACCCTCTTCTGTGCCACGGCAGGGGAGAGGGTCGGAGGAACGCAATTGCTACACCTGGACTGAGGGCAGCCCACCTGCCCCAGGACCTGCCCCACCACTGTGGGAGGCTCACCGGGACCGTGGGGTCCCCAGCTGGGCCTCACGGCCACCAGCAGCCCCTCCCTGAGAAAGCTGCTCCATGGCCTCCTCAGTTCCCTCAGTCTCCATTGTGGAAACTAAGAGCCACCTCCCTTCCTGCCTGTGCTGACCCCTAGGGCCCCGCCACTGATGCAGTCTCCTGTGTTGCTCTCCCTGGCGATCACCCCAGAGGCAGCCCTGGTCTTGCCACTGTACAGGGGAGAGGGCCTCGGGGAGGACTGGAGAGCAGTAAGTACAAGGCGGGGAGGCTGTAGGGAAAGGGTCCTGTTGCCATAAATCTCTCCCGAATTTTAAAAGGAGCTGGGGAATATTGACATGAATTAAATCCAATGAAACATTTACTTAATTAAACTTTAAGTGATCCAAATATTTGCTGTTTGGTAATATTTGTGTAGCTGACAGGAGCAGAATTACAATAGTTCTGTCAGTAGTTTTTCCTGTGAGAAGCTTCCATCTTCACACATGTACATGGTGGACAAGGAACCAGGAGGGGCCGTACCCCACCCCATACCCACCCGCGGCGCCTCCAGGGACACAGGAGGCTTGCAGTGTGCCCGACTTCTACCCTCCCCTACCCTCCAGGCTGGCCTCCACCTCTGCTGCCTCAGTGTCCACTGTGAGGCCCCCAGCTGCCCTGTGGGGCGCTGAGCCTGCAGCCCAGACACCGCGCCCCACCCAGGCCGGGATTCCTCCATCCCCACTGCCGCAAACACCCTGGGCGCCCAGGGCCTCAGTCTGGCGTCCACGTGGGCCCGCAGCACCCAGCCGGTGGGTAGGGAGCAGGCTGTGGGGAGAGCGCAGCTTCCTGCTGGAGCCCCGGGACCCCTCACTGGGCACCCAGTCTCCCTCCTCATGCCCTCAACCCCCGGGGTCGGGAGGATTATCCGCGGCCCCCTGGTTGCAGAGCATGGAGCCTCATGGCCGCCCGTGAAGGACAGGGTCCTCCTCTCCACCCTCCAAGGCTGGGCCTGGAGTCCTCCAGCAGGAAGTACTGTGGGGGCCGAACCATTTCCACAGATTCACACCCGCCCACCGCGCGGCCCGGGTCCTGAGCAGTCGACCTCGTGACTCACAGGAGGGGCGTGAGCTAAGAGGGCACTTGAGGGCCTTCGCAGTAATGTCTGCAATATCCAGCCAGTCTCATCTGCTTCCGTCACCTGGCGCTTGTGTCTCCTCCAGCGGCCTCCTTCCCAGGCGGAGTCGCTCTCTCCCAGGGTGCGATCGCCCCTCCCCTGGCCTTTGGCTGCTCTCCTTGTTTCTTTCCATCTCTCTCTTCTTCATCCATCCATCCACTCAGCACTGATGAAGAGGTCGGCGTCCACCTCACTGGACTCTGCAGGGCGGGGTCTGGGCCACTGCGTGCTGCTGGGCGAGGGGGACTTGGCTGCTCTACACCGACCTGGGGTGCGGCCTGTCACAGCTCCCAAGCCTCCCTCTGAATCCGGGGCCCAGCTTGCTCCGCTGTGCTTTGTCTCCACTGTTTGTGGGACACACCTGTGGGGGGGCCGCCCACACCCCAGTAGAGTAGTGGGGTGAACAGGGCTCCTGAAGCCATCCTGCCTCCTCCCTCTGCGTAACCTCCCAAGTGTGCAGACTGGGGGGACAGAGCCAGTCCCCCCAGTAAGCAGGTGGCTGTCCCCTCAAGCCTGATCCTATTTTTACATCTGAGCAGCCCGAGTTTGGGGAACTTTTCATGAGTCCCAAGAATTTTCGAAAGCCCGTAATGGCCAGAAAATATGTTAGACCCTGCCCATTTGCTGAAAGAATGATTCATTTTAATGCCAGTTATCAAATGCAAAATGGCAAGGAATCATGACTTTGTCAGCCCGAAGTACACTTCAAAACGTTAAAGGCCACACAGTGCATGGCCACAGAACAGAAATCCAACTCCAGGTTCAGTGAATATTCAGGCAGAAATAGACACAAAAGTCAGCCGGTCCACTCCCCTCCCCGACTTCAGACAGTGCAGCCTCTGAGTGGCCCCCAGACGGACGAGACATGGGCCAGGCCACCCAGCAGACCTTGACTGCACTTAGCAGGGTTCCAGCTTCATTAGGCCGGGAGCTCTGGGCTGCAGTCCCTGCTCTCTGTGCCATGGCCTGGCCGTCTTGGCAGCCAGCACTCTCCGCTCTGCTGGCAAACGCACAGCCATGCAGCTGCTCTGTACATCAGCTGTGTATCTGTTTTGACTCACAGAGCCTTTGGGGCATCACCCAGCAACGTGCCCATCAGTACGTGTGACATTTCGGCCCCGTCCCAGAGTCACTTAACAGCCGTTGGCTCTGAGTTGAGACTCCATGCCCCAGGGACACTCCTGAATCCTTCTCCTTTCCCTCTGCAGAGGTGGTTCAGCTCAGCCTCGCCCCCGGGGACAGGGTCAGCATGACCACCGTGACTGTGGGACTGAGCACGGTGCTGACCTGTGCCATCCGAGGAGACCTGAGGCCACCCATCATCTGGAAGCGCAACGGGCTAACCCTGAACTTCCTGGACCTGGAAGACATCAATGTAAGTCAGCTGGCGCTTTTGGGCTCGGATGTACCTCGAAAAAGTCAGTGGTGTGGGCAAGCGTGTGGCAGTGGCAGTGGCAGAGGCCGGAGAGAGGTGCCTGCCTTGGGGATGTTCTCTGCTGGACAAAGGAATGAGGGCTTGATGGTTTAAATCAGTGATGGCGAACCTTTCGGAGCTTTCAGTGATACAAACAGCCTGTTGCGGCACTCATGCCACAGGTTCGTCACCACTGCTTGACAGAAGAGAGCTGCCGAGTGCAGAAGCTCAGCAGGGCACCTTCTGTACTCTGAGGACACCAGCAGCTGGGCTGGAGTCCTGACATCACCTACGTCCACTTCATGACTAATTCTTTAACCCACTGACCCTTGGGGAACCAATTTATAAGAAAAGCAACATTAGCAACTCCTCCCTTCTCCTAGACTTGAAGAGGTGGAATAATTCAAGTATATTTATTGGTCCCGGTTTGGCGTGAGGGGTAATGTGGCTTCCCAGAAGTTCACGGGAGAGGACAGTGATGTCACATGATCAGGGAGTTGCCAGGTCAGCTATTGGGGCTTGGGCTGAAAAACAGGAATATAATTTTCAGGCAGAAGAGGGGGATGCCCTGGTCTCCTGGACTCAGAACTGCACAGATGTTCCCCTGTGGGATGCTTGCCCCACATATGGAAGACCTGTAGGAGAACATCTAGAGGCAATAAGGACAGAGGGCATGACTGAGCCGTGTGGCCCCATGGGTTGGACCAACCCAAAGGACCAAGGGGTGTCCCATAAGGACACAAATGTAGGCAGAGCACCATGCCAGCCATCAGCCCTGCCCCACAGTGGAATGAGCCATTCCAGGGAGTAGAGAGCCTCCCATCCCTTGGACCATGCTGGCCAAGAGAGGGCAGCTACAGCCCATGACCTTGAAGGTGCTTCCAGAGCTGAGACTGCTTTCGAGGAGAGCAGTGCAGCCTGAAATGCTCCAGCAATGCCCAAAGTCGGGACTCTGAGGCTCCCTAGGCCCTGGAGATGCAGGCATGAAGATGAAAAGAGAAAACCACTCAGGAGGGCAAAGGATGCCCCTTGTCACATGGTGTGGGGTTGCTTCCTGCCATTCTCCCTGTGCTGCAGACAGCCAGGGTCCTCGACCTCTCTGGACGTCAGTGCAGCTCAGTCCAGGGTGCTTGATAGATGGGCACCGGGTGGACAAAGTCCTTGGTCCTCTAGGCCTGAGATGGCCTGGGCTCACTCATTGTCCTAATTGTAAAGAGTTGGGTGTGCCCAGGTGCATGTGTGTGTGTGTGTGTGTGTGTGTGTGTGTGTGTGTGTGTGTATGTGTGTGTGTTGGGGTGCACATTTATGTGTACCAAAGCTCTCAAGGTGGGTGTCCGCTCTTAAACGCATCTGTCCAGTAATGATTCATTGAGGGCTTGGACAGGGCCACCTGCAACTGTCTCAGGGTCCATGTGTGTTAGTTGATGCTGTATTTAAGGACACCCGGAATAGAGGCAGAGGCAAAACTCCTCTTAATGTACTTTCCATCAGTTAATTAAATTACCTTGACAGTTTTTTCTCCTCCTTGAAACACGCCTGCAGCACCAGCTCAGCTGCACTTGTACTTTTCACAATCAGGTTAGCAATCTGGGTAATTGTGGGTACAGCCCAAGATTAATGTCCCCTCGTTACCTCCTAGCAAATGCTGCTGCCCATGGTTAAGTCAGCAGCCTGCAGAGGCAAACAAACACCCATGAAGTGGACACAACACACGCCTCCCCCTGCCACAGGGGAGGAGGCCGCCGTGTGCTGGAGAATACAGGTTCCAGGGTCACAGGTCTCCCAGTCTCAGCTGTGCCACTTACTCATTGAGAACCTTGGAAAGGGCCTTTGGCCCCTCTGAGCCTCAATTTCTTCATCTTCATCAGCGAAATGGGGATAATGCCTCATAGAATAACAGTGAAGGTTAAGTGAGGTAACACATGTAACGTTCTTAGCATATACTATTTCGTAAATGCCAAATATTATCATTCTTACTTACATGAATGTTGTTGCTATAGCTGCCGTTAAACAACAAACTCAGTACTTTACAGCCAGAATCCCCTTGAGCAGCCAGCAGCAGCCCAGCAGGCTCCCGGGCAGGCAGATATGGCTCGGAGATACCCTGTGGCTTGGAGTCAGGGCTGGGGATGCCACTGCCCTCATCAGCCTTGGTTCACACAGGGAGACAGACACTGACCAGCCTCCTCCGCTGCCCGAAGCGGGCTCAGCTCAGCCCCTGGACTTTGTTGAATCAATGGGGAAGTGGAGATGGTGACCTCAGGCCAGCTCGGGCTGCACACAGGCAGGAAGCACCTGGCGCCCAGAAGTGTGGCAGCCCCACTTGGGGACAGTGAGGAGACCGAGCCGTGTCCTCGGGAGACACAGGATGTTATCATAGCAAGAATGGGTCGGAGGAGAACAGCCCAGGAGAGCCAGACTTCGGAGCAAAGATTCCAGGGTTAGTGGGGCTCCCAGAACCCCTGAGCCTGGAATCCCAGCACTCCCCTCCCCGCCCATCGTGTGCCATGAAATACCAGCCCTGGTGGGGGCAGTGTCATTAGTGGCCCCCCGGAAAGTGGATCTGCTTTCAGAACAAAGGCAGGGACAGTAGAGAACGCAGAGGTGTGGGCCTCCTTTTTTGTCATTTGTCTGAGACATCTTGATTGGCAACAAAATATTAATCACTTTTTCACTACTCTTTAATGAGACGCTTTCATGGGCAACAAAATATTAATTTGTCTTGTCTTATCTGTTAAGAATTCTGTTAATGAATTCAGTCACAGAGCTATTACCGGATGCCATCCTAATGACACATGTAATTAAACTTTCCTGACTTGCAAACATCAAAGGTGCCTTGAGCATCAGAATAATATTGGATCAGAAAGCGAATGTGCCCCGCAGCCCGGAGGCAAGTGAGAAGGCCCCGCTCGGAATCCGAGGGAGCCGTGCTGCCGGAGTCCCCAGGCCTGCAAGAGCCACGCAGACTCAGACACGGGACCTGTCTTGTGGACTCACTCACTAGCGCCAGGGAGCCACAGAAGCCCCACAGCGGGCTTCCACAGATGCCTATTCCACTCGGGCAGGGGCTTTGGGTGGCAGGGGCTTTGGGTGGCCGGGGGAATCAGGAGAGAGGAGCGTGGAGGCTCAGGCTGGGCCAGGATACAAAGGGCCTCACACATTAACGTGGTCAAATGTAGGTACTGCCGGAGTCCCAAGCCCTTTGTGGACTAAAAGGTACCCAGAAATGCAGGAGCCCTGCTGGGTTCTTGGTCCTTCTGCTCTCTCACTTCCTGATTGGCACATTCGGAGTGGAGTCGTGGCCCAGGCTGCCCGGCATCTGCCCAAAGTTCCTGCCGGGTAGCACGTGGCCTTGCCTGGGTTTGCAGAGCCTTTGGAAGCCCCTGTGATGTGCCTCCAGAGGAAGCCCAGAGGTCTCCTGGCTCGGCCTGCAGGGGACAAATCCAAGGCCCAGAGCAGAGAGGGCAAAGCCCCAGACTGGGCAGCAGCAGAGCACCATCCAGTGCCTCTCACTGTGGTTTTCTGGATTGTGCTTCTGTTTGTTGGGTGAACAATGGTTAGTTTCTGCTCCTACTGGTGCTCCCCAGGGCAAAGACGATATAGCCTGTGATTTATCTATTTCCTAGTCCACAGTGTGTTTTGTTAGTTTTTTCACCAAAACAGGTACAGGTCTAGACATGTATGTGTGCATACACACACATGCACACACACACACACACACACGCGCGCGCGCGCGCGCGTGCACACTCGTGTAAGTCTCAAGGAACCAGTCGCTGCCCTTGCCCAGGAAGCTAAGCCGGGGTGGCCACAGCAGCATCCTGATCTCTCCCTGCCCTGGGCTTGGGCCAGGCTTACCCCTGAAGAGCATCCAGTGCCTGCCATCCCACTGTAGGCACCAGAAGCCAGTGCTCAAATCGCCCAGGCCTGCACATGACACAGTGCTGGGGGAGGGTGCTGCCACGTCTAGGACACAAGTGACACATGTGTCTCCCTGCCACTGGAGCCCGTGATGGGAGCTTATCCCTAGGGAGAGCTCTCTGGCCTGGTACCAGGGCTGCTGGGAAGCAGGGAGAGGGTTACCTTTGGGGACTTTCTGGACCCCGCAGTCACACAGCCGCTTTGGACCCTCTGGGATGTCACGTTCTACCCAGAAGCCACATGAGCATCTTGCTTTCGGAGCATGACCACACCCTTCCCTGGCCAGCCACCCCCTGTGGGGGGCAGAAATAAGCTTGGGGGCTGGGGCGAGGCCCATCTCAGGCAGATCCATATGCTTCTCCTGCTGCCCCCGCCCCTCATTGGGTGTGCTGGGCCAGGGTGTTTCTGCAGAAAAAGAATGCAAACCCGCCCTGTGCCTGGCGCTGTGGTTCTCTGACCACCCAGGTTACACAGCAGCCACTCAGGGTAGCGTGAGTTCTGCCTCAGCGGTGTCACCTCCCTCTGCTCCATAACTGTCTTCCTCACTTCCCCTTGATCTTAAAGGTCCAGACACGAGCCAGGAGAGGGACAGAAGCAGAGGAAGGATGGCCCCAAAGTCAGACAGTGGACGATGGCTGAAATTTATCACTAGCACTGAGCTGCCCCGGTGCCCAGCGCTGGGCCCTGTGCTGGTCCCTCGTGCGTCTCCTCCGCCCTCACGGTGCACCTCCAGGCAGGGGGTCTGTGTGCTCAGCACCGCGGAGCTGGCCCACCCGCCCAGCTGGCTCTCCCTGGGTTCCCTGGGTTCCTCGCTCGTGGACCCCAATACCTAGAGCCCAGCTTTGCCACAGCTTTTGCCCCAGGGCTGATCGCATGCACTCGCGCATGAGGCCACGTGCACAGCCCTGGGCTCGCATCAGCTGCTGGCCTTTGGCCCCAGTAAATCAGGGTAGCAGCATAACCCAAGAGCAGCATGTGGAATTGTTTAGCCAGGGTTTTCTCTGGGAGAGGAAACATTTTTCTATTGTATTTTTCATTTTTTA